CCCTGTTAAGATGGTAATGTAGGAAACGGAATAAAAATATCGATAATTAATCGATCGAATTTCCTGCATGATCATATTAACTTCAGAGGGCGTAAGCAGATTATACATTGGAAATGAAAACCTGTAATATCGACCTTGATCAAGTTCGGCCTTCGCTCCAGCATCCCCTTAAGATTAAAGAAGGATCAAATTGAAAGCAGCAGCGAGAGTGATAGCGATAGTGATAGTGAAGAAGAAGAATTAAAATCAAAAAAAGATCAGCAACAGAACAAAAAGAGTGTAAAAATAAAAGCAGAGGATATACAGCAAAAATAATTGAGAAAGAAATATAAAGAAATTTTAATGATTTTTCTTCTGTAAACTTGTAAAGATTAATAAACGCGGATTTATGTTTCTCCATTTTTTATATATAATATTCTTTACTTTATTCAATGTTTTTTATATATATAGTATTTTTTCTATATTTTCTATATATAGAAATTATAATAATAAGTTTGATTTTATAAAAGCTTTGAAGAATGTTTCATACATTGAGCTGCAAAAAATTAATTTTTGTATTTTCCTATTTTTCTTGTAATATTTACATTCTTTTATTTTCATGATTCCGTGATTTCATTTTTTTTTTTAATTAATCTTATCAAAATTCCTGAAACACATATATTTTTTAAAAACAGAATCATGAAATATTACAAGAGAAAAAAAATAAATATTAAATATACAAATATACAATAAAAATCTAAATGTTTGTATTTATTTTCTTGTATTTTTACATTCTCATATAAATCTCTAAATTAAAACAAAGCCAAATTATCATTACATTAATAAAACATTAGACGTTTCGGCCACAATCTGGCCATCTTCAGTAAATTCACAATATTCTTAAAATGCAAAATTCTGACATTGTTTTTTCATCATGTGAAGGTGCAACGTACCTTTTGACACAAATATATAAATAGTGGTAACATACATGCTATGACAAATAATAACACACAATGTCACGACAAATTTCCATCCATGTAAAGGATGTACTTAAGGTTCATCAAAAAGTTTTTTTGCTGTAAAACAGGTAATGATTCTATTCTCATACTTTTCGACTTGAAAATATTAATGATAGGTTAAATTTTAAATTAGAATCTAGAAATTCTTGTTCTACATAATTCGAAATATGACAATTAGCGCTGCAACATTGTTGTACGATGCACCTTCACATGATAAAAGAACATGTTTAGATATAATTATTTCACATGACAATTGAATGTAATGTCAGATTTGTAATTTTGCGTCTAATGTTTTATTAATGTAATGATAATTAAATATCATAAATAACACCTTGTACTGTGGTTTTATGCTCTTCTTTTCATAAGTTTTAATTTATAAACCGTATATATATTTGAAGATTTGAATTTATGTACATAATAAAAATAGAGATAAAATTGCTTTTACATTAATAATTCATGTAATTATTCTCTACATTTTTGGAGTGAAATTTTATTCCAAAATAATGAAAATTGAATGTCTTGAAAGAGTACAAATCCAATCTTCAAGAGTAACAAATTTTTACCCTCTCGAAATGAATTTCACTCCAAAGGATTTTATTCTCTAAATTCTTTGGAGTAAAATTCACTCTTTTGGAGTCAAATAAAGTGAATTTTATTAATAAATATAAATCTTGATATCCACGTTATTTAATGGGAAATAATATAAGTATTCATGAATTACACATCCACGTGGAAATCCAGTAAAATATCTATTATACATATGTGAATATTATGTGGAAACTCGCAGGAGAAATTTGATTAGAGATATCGATTAAACTTCCACGTGGATTATTTGAGCGGATTGTTTAGATTATTCACGTGGATTCATGTATTTATTCTCATTATTATATGGGTGGATATCGTATTATGTGAAATCTTATAAGAAAAATTGACTAGAAATATTGATTTGACCGTTTTTGAGTGGACTGTCACTCGTAGAATCCACGTGTCAGTCCATGTTAAATCCGTGAAATCTAAGTACATGTTCTCATCGAGATGGTGATATGGCAATGGCAGCGGCGACGAAAAAAATACGGAATGTATAGCGGAATGTCATCACGTGTATGTTTATGTAATTCATCGACCGAAATCCTGTATTTACATAAACATAGGACCCTGGTTATCACTGTTTACATAAACAGTGATACTGGCGATCGGGGATCTTCCCGCGCTTACGAGTACCGCCTCGCTTTTCCATCAGAGGACCATAGTTAAAACCCGCCTAATACCTACCTTCGATATTTTTACAATAACATTTATAGGTGTAAATAAGGTTTTTTATACTCTGAAATCATTGTTACGTCCAGCAGACTCCCATTCTTTTCTTTCGTGAAAATCTGGAATTCATTGAAATAAAGAGACAACGAATACGAATAACGAACAAGTTGAGCATTATAGCCTAGAGAAGACTAAAAATTTTCTTTTCCCATACTAAAGACTAAAACAAAGAATCCAGTATCTCTTCGTAAATGTCACTCTGAGATAAACTAAAAATCGGTGCACATGCACAAGCGGTGGGACCAAAAAGACACCGAGTTTGTGTCCCTCGGACACTGTGGCTGAAATAATAATAAATAGAAGCGTAAGACCGACGCCAAGATACTTTTTAACGATTAAGTCGCAACGATTCTTATGAGTCCGTGGTCACAAAATCTAAGAAGCGACACGCGACATTCAGGGATAGATTCTGGGTCTCGTGCTGCATGTGCGCTTTCTTGACTCACTGCATGTGCTTTTTCCCATAAATATTAAAGCCACAAAATTTAGGAGAACACTTTTCCACATTACAGATTCCGGTCAACATCCTTTCCTCTCCCAAAATCTTGATCAATCCGAGAGCAAAAAAAAATCCTACTACTATCTAAATCCTACTACTAAAAATCATCCTATTAACGAAACCTATTCCACCAATCCGAACCTGAGTAATCGGGACTGATTAATATAAAAACCGCGATTCCGCGATTTTCTGAATGATTTTTCTCTGAGTTTTTGGAAGCTATAGTTATGTCGGAACTTTGAAAAAGGCTTCATCCGATTCTCGAAGCCCTTTTTCTCCAATAAAGTCAGTATAATCTAGTAATCTATACTATCAACTTAAGACCAACGACACTGGTTGACCGGGGAAATTGAAACGGATCTGGCGTCCAGCATCCCATAGTCCGACGGTCTCTCGGACACTCGATAGATCGCTATCACCAAGTAGTAAGTCTTGGATTTCGCTGTAGTACACTGGGTGGTCCCTCGTTTTTTGTATGCTGTCTCTTTAAAGATAATCAAATTTTCACGCAATTCTTCCGCCTTTTGTCACCATCATCTAGTGGGGACTAACAATGCGCGCCGATTTACCATGTCCGCTTTAACACCGCGGAAAACTCGAGAACAATCTCTGTTAATTTAGGCATCGCCCTAAAACAGACTCCGGTCATTCAGCCTCCAGCCTCGACTCTATCACCGCTAGAAATTTCTTACTCCCCTGTCTCCGATCTATCCCCAAACTTCTACGATAACATCTTCCCGTCTAGTCTTCCCTCTGTTTCACATCCGATATCAACATCCCCGATTAAAGAATTTTCTCGTCTTGCATACCACTCCCTCAATTCCTCCTGTTCAACCTGATGCTTACTCTCCCGCTAGTCACCTTCCTCTCCTCTTTCATATCCATTAGTTGTTGGAATACATTCTACCTTCTTTATTTCTTCGATTAACGACCGAATGATAGTCAGCATCGCAGGATCCACTTCCCTATTTTCAGTCCTCATGTCATCCCCCATCGATCCTCTTTCTCTCCAACCATATGAACTTGCACTTGAACCACACAACTTTAACTTTCTCCTCCTTTTTCCAAATTTTTCATACTCAAAATAACGTCCGCATTACACACAACTCTCTTTTCACCTACACACTCACACATACATAAATGCGTACGACCATATATTTCAGAATAGAAAATCAAAGGATTGTATTTTTATATTTAAGAAAAATGTATTACTAAATATTGCTTTTATTATAATTAATAATAAATATTTATTATTATTAAATTAAACACACGTTTGTTAATTTGAAAAACATCTCCTTGTATTTATTGTAAGCTCTCTCGCGGTTGCACTTCGCCTTCTCCCCAAACACTTGGATTAAGCCAGTTCCATGAAAGCCAGGACGTACTGGCACATCTGGTTAAAGTGCGCCCCGGCACACTGATCCAGTTTAGGACCTTTAAATTAAGTATATTCGACTCGTGTGTTCGTTTAGCGGAGCACGAGTTGAGGTTTCCACTTCGTCCTCCATTCAACTCCCGGCTCGTTAGGAACCTTAGAACGAAGCGAAGTGCCTCCCGATTTGCGTCGGTTCTTCCCCACAGCTCCCTTGCAGAACCTGGACATGACCAAATTTAATAATTCGATTCCTATTGCGTTCACCCCCTCAGCTTTATGCACGCGGAGCTTAGACATAACATCATTATATTTAAAACATTTTTTCATCGAGTATCATTATTATAATGAATATAATGAATAAACGATATAAAATATAAATTTATTGTATATAAACATTTAGAAATTATTTTATTATTAACAATAAGTACATTTAGAAATTATAACATAATCGACAAGCAAATAAGATATTAAAGCATAAAACTGAAAAAAAAATTTTAAGAGAATAATCTTAAAATATTATAAAGAAGTAATGTACAGAGATGAATAAAAAAGTTTTACTCTAGGGAAAAATAATAAAAATTATTATAATATAACTCTATAATTTGTAATGTTACAAAAATCAATCATGTCAACTTCCTTATTTGTTGATTTGTGTATTTTATTGTTCCGATGACAATTACTTACGCACATGAACATGGAAGCGTTAATAATTAATTCTCGAAATTGATATGTCGTAATGTAACTATTACATATGAATGAATTCGTAAAAAAATAATCTTTAATTTGTAAAAAAAAATTGAAAATTTAAAAAGTCATAGATGGAAGGATATTTTGTTAAACAAAAAAATTTTTAAATTTTTTTCTTCTCTTAAAACAATACAATTTTTGTTTAAAAAATTTTTTTTTATTTGGATCAAGGTTATCGAAAACTCAATAGACTGAATCACCAATCAAATTTTAAGTGTGCTCAATCGATTGCAACCGCTCGAAACATACAGAGTATTTGATGCGTCACCAAAATCCGGACAATTTCTTTAAATAAAATGTTTTAATGTTTTTAATGAAAAATTAAATATTACAAAAAATCCTTTTACATGGCACTTGAGAGATTACTGTAAATCACAATTATTCGACATATCCCCTATTAGTTTGAATGACGGCCTCTGTTCTCGGTCTGAAGCGTTCTCACGCACGCTATAATATAGCGCTGTCCATGCCGACGAATGCTGCCTCAATAGCTCCTAACGTCATATTGGGATGCCGAGACTTGTTTGTGACCCTTTCAACTACGCTCCATACGTAATAGTCCAAGGGATTTAAATCTGGGCTGTTGGAAGGCCAGAATGGGAGCCGGACCGAACAACTCGGCTTGTCCTGGCAATTTCAGAGAGCATCTGTCGTATGTTTAATGTGTACGATTTGTTCGAAGGTTCTCCTCGGCAATTCGACGCATTGTTGGCTCGCTTATATCAACAATCGATGCTAATTTTCGCAACGATTGCCCTGTCATCCGAAATCAGCGCTTGAGTCCTTTCAACGACTGCGAAAGTCCTCGCGGTGCGTTCTTTCGAGTGACTCTTCCTCACTGGCATACTGGAACCTTCATTGGATTGTTCTAAAGCCGTATATTTTGTCACAACATCATAAACGATTGATCTCGGGTATCCAAAGAACCGAATTATTTCCATTGCTGAATGCCTAGCGCGAAGGTCTTCGATGATCGCGGCTCTTCGATTATACTTCGCACTTGGTTTCAACATCACGGCCATTTTGAGAATATCATTGTTTACTAGAAGCATCAGGCTTTCTCGGACGCCAACAACAACTTCTGGCGACAAAATATAGCGGAAAATTTAAATTGAAATTTGTCCGGATTTTGGTGACGCGCCCTGTATAATAAAAGTGTTTTTATTGTTTCTGTACGTATCCTACAAGCGGAGATATCGCGACGCAAAGTTTTTGAACTGCCACTTTTTCAGATTAAGATATGTCGTCATCGTCGATCGCATTCCACACATTCATTTCGTGTTCTTCTAACATTCTTTATGCAAGGAGCGTTAATGGTATACATGATCAGCGAGCGCTGCGATTTGAAGATATCTGGAGACATGATGACAGTGTCGCGATGCTAAGCATGGTGAGTCTGTACTACGATAGTGGTCTCGGTCGGTTCTTTCAAAACAGGATCGGTAAAGTATGATAATAAAACACGCTGGTAATTGCTAAAAACTAGGAAATATAATTTAAAAAGCAATTTATTCGATCTCGATCTCGATTTGTTTATAACTTAATATTTAACAAAGAAGATTAAATAGAAATGAAATTCGCTGATATTTGTTGACTAAGCCAGGAAATAATAAAGAAAAACCAATTTATTTCCATTTATTTATAATTAATATTTAACAAAAGAAGGTCGAACAGAAATGGAATTATACACTGGTATTTGTTAACTAAGTTAACTAAATAGGAAATGATACTGACAAAGCAATTTATTCAATAATGATCTCCATTTGTTTATAACTCAATATTTAACAAAAAGAGGTTGAATGTAAACGAAATTATACGCCGGTAATTGTTAATCTAGCTATTTTATAAACAAATAGAAATAAATTACTTTTTCATTATCATTTCTTAGCTTAGTTAACAATTACCAGTGTGTAATTTCGTTTCCATTCGATCTCTTTTTGTTAAATATTAGAGAGTTATTAAGTTATAAACAAATGGAGATCGAGATCGAATAAATCGCTTTGTCATTTCCTAACTTAGTTAACAATATAATATTTACTGCATTGGTGATATCGTTTTACTTATTCCATATTGATTACTGCCACTGATTGTTCATTTCTTTAATCAATATTTAATTCTTTATTCAATATTTAATTTAAGACATAAATTATGAAGGTTAGAAAGAGAAACTAATTGTAAGATGCATTATAAAATATGTCAGACAAGGAAAGATTGAGGGCCGATTTCATCAATGCCGCTCAAGCTTAATCGTAATTAACTGTCAACCGCAATTGATCGATTCTATTAAACAGTAAAGGTGATTGATCAGTCAATTAAGCTAACTGACCGATTAAGGTAACTAGCGTCAGTGAAACTGGCCCTTCTCGAGTATGCCAACTTCTCGAAATATATCTCTCGTTTCATAATTGACAGCCTTTGTCTCTTATGCTACATTCATAAAGGTGCCTTTTCATGCTTTCAATGCTCATTTTCAGCGTTAAAATCAAATGACATTTGATATTCGTCAATTTCTATCCTTAAGCCTGATGTTAGGGGCCAGTTTCACCAACGCCAGTTAGCTTAATCGCCCATTGACTGATCATCGCGTTTGCTTTAGAAGAATCAACTAATTGCAATTGACAGTTAATTACGATTAAGCTTGATCGTGATTAACTGTCATTGATGAAACGGCCCTGGAAATCAGATCGAGATCTCAGAGAAGGAATTAACAAATTATTTGATTACATGACCATTGTGATTGGTCAATTCTTTCTTTATCCGAGGATCGATTTTTAGCATTGTGGACACAAGACTATAGACAGAGATGGCAGAGATTTAGAGAGAGATACCGTCCAACTGAGCACATCATGGCCATTATTCATAGACAGATCTTATATTTAATCTTAAGTCTTAAGATGTCATGAATCAATTAGAAAGCCGCATTAGCAACTTAAAATGTTACTTAAAGCCGATTCTACATTAGTTGCAAGCTGATCGCAAATTTGTTGCTACAGCCAATCTGAAGTTTGGATTTTGAAATCAACACCATATTGACTGTCACAAACGAACTTGCAATCAGTTTGCAACTAATGTAGAACCGACTTAAGACGGTTAAAATAAGAACCGACTATGAATATCAGCCCATGAGAGAGTGGCAAATTGCATTACATGAATGACAGCATCCAATCACATGATTAGTTTTCTCCAATCTCTTCCACTTCTATGCCTATGGAGCTTTGATGACCGCTCCCAATCAGAGAATCAGAGGAAACGAATCACGTAATGCAGTTTATCACGTAACATTACTCTCTCCCTTTGAGATTCTCTAGTCGCCATTGTCTTTACTCTCCTCTCCGACTTCTTGTGTTTCTCGTGGATGAGAATTAAATTTTTGGATTTTTGGATTTTGGAAAGTGTAACCGACTTCAAACGCGCATTTACAATAATAAGTATATTATATTTTATCTGGAGACAATAGTGGCTCGGCGTGTTATTTTTCACCGCAAGCGGCATTTTGAACCTCTGGCTGGAGTTGCTGCCATTATTACCATTACCAGTGGCAAGGTATCAATCTATTATACTATTAAATCAGTTAGGCTTTGGGGCCAATAGAAGAAAAAATTTTGATGAACTTGCAGTGATGTTAAGAGATGTAAGTATATATTTATCAAGGATATTCTTATATTCAATCCAATTAAAATAGTACTTTTATTTTTTTTCAAGGATATTCTTATTGAAGGTCGTCTTATTCCAACCCTCCTCCAAATCTCTACCTTTCATATCATTAAATAATGATATGACTGATTTTTACGGAGCTACACGATTGCAAACAATAAAATCCATAAAGTTTCAAAATTTTTTGTGAACTTTGTGAAGTTATGCAGTAAATGAGAAGTCGGGCACAAATACTGTTTACAGTTTTTGAAAGCGTGAACCTTTAATTTGCTTTTTTGCTGAACATTGTTGTGTGGCCTTTTTTCACCGAGTTATTCAACATTGAATTGAAAATGGTCCTTTTGACTTTGACTGCTCATAAAAGACGAACGGAGTAATGTATTGTATATGTTAAAAAATTATAAAATATTGTAAAAAAGAAAAAAAGTTCAAAGTTTTTACTTCAGATGTTCGTATCATTTCTTAGACACAAATAAGCTTTCTATGTAAAAACTTAAGTGAAAGATAAAGTTGAAAATTGATATAATTATCTGTTCAACACGTTCTACTCTGATCAAAAGGAAAGAGGAACCCTATGATGTTAACGTAATTTTAAATTTTAGAGTCTACTGACTTCAACGGAAAAAGAAAGTAATTGCGACATTTTTAAATTAATGCCATTTTCATGTTCAAAATTACGACTTTGGACAAAACGGCAATCGCTGTATTCATCCTAACCTTATATCGCAGTAAGCATTAGCGATACCCGAAGCGTACTACATGAAGATTGCACAGTCAGATTTATGCATCTTGTGTGCGTGCGTGCGTGTGTGCGTGCAT